CTGCACTTTGGAGTGAATTTGGATTTTTAAAAAATGTTTTGGGGCCATTTTGGAAGAAAATCTGACACAGGACATATATCGAATAAACCTCATGGTATTAGCAAATTTGAATAAAAAGTAATATTTTCCAGCCATTTACAAAAAACAGTCTGGCATAGGCTTACCAGACTATTTTTTACTTACCCCCAAAAATCATGATTTAAGGAAATTGGATGATATTTCACATTTTTTAGATAGAATAATCTTCCAGAATAGGAAGAACCTTCTGGCATAAGAATTATGTCCAAAAAACTTCACCATTTGAGCTAATTTGACTGAAAAATCACATCCAGGCCAGTTGGAAGAAGTCTTGCACAAGATTTACATCAAAAAGATCCTAAGATTTGAATTAATTTGGATGAGAAATAATTATTTTCTACATATTTTAGAAGTTCCAATAAACCCCCAAATTTGAGATTTGGATATAAACGTCACATTTCCAGGGAATCTTGGGAGAAATATTCAGCATATGACTTATTTCCAAAAACCCCACTATTTACATGGATTTGGATTTTAAAAGTCATGTTTCTTGTTCATTTTGGGGGAAATTTGACAAAGGATTTGTGCCCCCCTAAACCTATGACTTAGATGAATCACTTTTCCACTTGTGGAAAAGTGTATTTACTTCTAGGTGGTTTCATAAAATAATGTGGCATAGAATTTATGACCACACATCCTAAAAATTTGAGCAAATTTAGATGAAAAATCACATTTCTGGGTCATTTTAGAAAAATCTGGCATAATAATTATTATATTTTAAAAATTTATTTAATCATTCATTTATCTGGAGACAGAGTCTCACTCTGTCCCCCTGGGTATAGTACAGCAGCATCACTGTAGCTCACTGCAACCTCAAACTCCTGGGCTCAAGCGATCCTGTGCCTCATCCTCCCGAGTAGCTGGGACTAAAGGCATGTGCCACCATCCCTGGCTAATTTTTCTATTTTTAATAGAGATGGGTCTTGCTCTTGCTCAGGCTGGTCTCCAACTCTTGAGCTCAAACAATCCTCCTTCCTCAGCCTTCCAGAGTACTAGGATTGCAGGTGTGAGCCACCACACCTGGCCTAATAAATATTTTTAAAAGCCCATAAGACTTAGTGAATTTGGATGAAAAATCCTATTTTCAAAACCATTTTGGAAGAAAAATGTGGTATTACATCCAGAAAATCCTACTTTTTATGCAAATTTGGGAGATAAATGCCTTTTGGGCCATTTTACAAGAAAATTTTGCTGTTGGGCTTATGTTAAAAAGAAAACTCCACTGATTATTTGACTACTGTTGCTCTGCAATAAATTTTGAAATTGATAAGTTCTCCAACTTTTCTCTTCTAAAAATATGTTCTATTGCTTCTTTTTAACCTAAAGCTTAGCAAACTGGACATAGTGTTCTCAGATTGTTTTGTAATCTTGGAGATTATCTCATATAAGTATATAATGATGTTTCTCACTTTTTGTTATGACAGCATTTGTTCTATTTGTGCATGATTGACTTTTATTTAATCAGTCACTCTACTGAACATTTTTTTCTTTACTATTCATTATTGCACTGAAGAACTTATATAAATAATTTTGTGCATGAATATGTATAGCTATTGGATAAATTCTATTGAGATTACGGGCTCAAATGGAATATGAATTTTTAGTTTTGGTAGATATTACCAAGTTGTCCATCATAAGACTTGTGCTAATTTGTATTCCCAAAACTAATGTGTAAGTGTTCCTGGTTTCCAGTCTACAATACTGTTTTCAGTTTGTAGTTTTTGCTAATCTGAGAGGTGCAAATGATATCTGTGTGTTGTTTTCATTTGTATCTTTACCGATGTAAAGGATATTTTCAAATGAAAAAAGGCTCCCTATATTGTGATTTGTCTGTTCTTATATTTTGAGTATTTTCTGTTGCATTGTTGATTTTTAAAACTTCATTTCTAGAGGTATTATATAGGTAAGAAAGACAGTTTGCCCCCCACCCCCAAAAGTTTGTCTTTTATTTTGGCTGAAGGTGTGAGTTGCCTTGCAGAATTTATTTTGCTATAGACAAATTTGACCTTTTTCATTATGACTTTGAGATTTTGAGCCATAATTAGGAAGCCAGTCCTGGGTTCCAAAGGGGTTCCAACTATCTATTGCTGTGTAACAGACAATCCTAAAATTTAGGGCTTAAAGCAATTTATTAACATCATCCCTCACAGTTCTATAGCTTGACTGGGCTTGGCTGAGCGGTTCTTATTTGAGGTCCCGGACATGGTTGCAGATGTCAGCTAGAGTTTTAGTCATTTGAAGGCCTGACAGGACATCCACAGTGGTTGGCTCGCACGACTGGAGCTGATGTTCACTGTTGGCTAGCTCACCTGTGGCCGATGACCAGAGTGCCGCCATGAGGCTCTCCATATATGGCTTGAAGTTTTCACAACATGGCAACAGGGTTTGAAGAGTACAAGCTGTGAAGTTTCTTATGAACCAGTCTCAGAAGTCTCATGATGTCACTTCTGCTACCATCTCTTGATCAAGCAAGTCACTAAGGCTAGCCCAGATCCATGGGAAGGGCAACAAGATTCCATTATGATAGACACAAAAGAAAGGAAGGAATAGATGGTGTCCATCTTGGAAACTCTTTGCGCAGTCCACTCTCTAAACACCAAACTGCATGTCCATCCCATGTGAAATATCCCTCCTAAGACCCCCAGAGTCTTATCCCACTATGGTGTTGGTGCGAAGTTCAGGATCTTGTTCCCTAAATCAAGTCAAAGTGTAGATGATGCTTTATTGGAAGACCTGTGATTTAAAAAATGGGAAAATGGCTGACACAGGTTCATAGAAATTCAGAAATTCAGCTGGGCACATTTTACCAGCTCCTTGCTTAGTGCCCAGTACTGCTCCCTGGCAGTGATTCTCCACGATGTCTACACTCTGAGCTATTCTTCCTTTTCCATGAGAAATGACCCATATTTGCAGCTTAGTAGATTTCTCAGCCTGCCTCTGCCCATAGAAAGGTAGAAGCTTTTCTGTCCTTTTCAGATCTAGCTGGTTTTTCTATTACAAATGTCATGGTTTTCCTATTCCTCTTATTGAAGTTCATTCCATTAGACAAAATCATATCCACGAAGCTCTTCAAGATAAGTGCTTTTCTGGTTTGGGTTGAGTGTCAAGGTGCTATGGAATGATACACTTAAAATTCAGAAACCATTTTGTGTATAGTCCAGTTACCACACAATTAAATCTTTTTCAAGTCTTAAAAAAGGGTCTTAACAGTTGTACCCTTGAGATGATCTTTATCTTGAAAGCCACTTATTTTGAGCACTGGAACACAGTGCAGGAGGTATGGTTAAGAAATATATTCAGCCCTGCTATTGGTGAACTACTGAGGGTGTGTGGCTAAGGGGTCTTGGACCAGTTACCAGATGACTGGCAAAAGGAGTAGGTCCTGGGATAGTGCCAGGGAGCATGACTGAAAGTCCTATACCCTGGAATCATAGGACTGATTTGGGGATTTGGTTTCAAAGGTCTTATCCCTATTATTAGAGGGCTGAGGAAGACACATGGTTAAAGATCGTCATATACAGTCATTCATCACTTAAGAACAGGAATACATTCTAAGAAGACGATTTCATTGTTGTGTGAACATCATAGAGTATACTTACACAAATGTAGATGGTATAGCCTACTACACACTTCGGGTATATGGTATAGCCTATAGCGTCTAGGCTACAAACCTGTACAGCAAGTTCCTGTACTGAATACTGTAGGCAACTGTAACACAATGGTAAGTATTTGTGTATCTAAACATAGAAAAGGTACAGTAAAATACAGCATAAAAGATAAAAAAATCATACACCTATATAGGGCACTTACCATGAATGGAGCTTGCAGGGCTGGAAGTTGCTTTGGGTGAGTCAGTGAGTGCTGAGTGTGAAGGCCTAGGATGTTACTGTTCATTACTGTAGACTTTGTAAACACTGTACACTTAGGCTACACTAAATTTATAAAAAAATTTTTATAAATTTTAATAAACCTTAGCTTACTGTAACTGTTTTACTCTATACAACTTTTTGACCCTTTGGTAATACCATTTAGCTTAAAACACACATTGTAAAGCTGTACAAAAATATTTTTTCTTTATATCCTTATTCTATGAGCTTTTTTCCATTTTTTTTTCTTTTTTACTCATTAAACCTTTTTGTTAAAAACTAAGACACAAACATATATATTAGTCTAGGCCTATAGAGTCAGGATCATCAATATCAGTTTTCTACTTCCACATTTTGTCCCACTGGAAGGCCTATGATGTAACTAGGTGATAGAAATTTTTCAGCTCCATTATAATCTTATAGGACAACTGTCATGTATGTGGTCTCTCATTGACTGAAACATCATTATGCAGTACATGACTGTAGTTACTGGAGTGCCGGTGAGGTGGTATAGCTGGGATGGTTGGGTGTTATCCATGTTCTTGGTGGCATGATATGGGTGTAACTGAGACCCTAGGCTCTGCTTAGTCATAGCTAAGACCAGGCCCCAGGACTGGGCTCCTGAGGACAGAGGACAATGTATCGGAGAGAGGGCCCCAAAAAGGGAGGATCAGGGACTAAAGCCTGAGAGCAACACAGGAAGTCAGGGGATGATTCCACAAAGGCAACAATACAGATGTTGAGAGCTAGAAGGAGAGAAGCAGGAAAGGGAGCTGTCACAGAGCCAAGGGAGGAGGGTAGCTGCAGATGACACTGGACTAGAGGAAGCCACATTTTCTGGAAGATTCCCTTCCCTCCTGAAATCTCTGTATACAGTTCCTAGATTCTCTCCTCAGACAAAGGACTAGACTTTCCAATAAATACACAAATGATTCAGTTCTTATGTTTTCTAAAGAAATGAATGCTGGTGGAGTAGTGGACTTAAGAGTTCGAGCTATCTACATCACTCCTTATTCCCTACCTTTGTAGGTGACAGAATGAGGTACACAGCCAAAGTTACAGATTTGTAAGGAAGCTAAGTTTATTAGAACAAAAGGCCACAAAATATGGAGAAGACTTAGTGTGAAGTAAGTAAACCAAGTCAAATGTTCTCTGACCACTTATGGAATGCATTTCCTTCTCCAATTCATGAAAGCATAAAAATTTTGACTGTTAGTCCTTGCCATCATCTTCACTTTCAAAGAGAGAACAAGGGCTCAGAAGATTGCCCCAAATAGGCCTCAGGCTCGGGCTGCAGTGGCTGTCTGTGGTGGCCAGACTTTATTTTCTTGTGTCTGTTGAGGTGAGATTTCTGGCCAATGCCTTGCCCATAAGTCTTGCACATGCATGGCTTCTCCCCTTTGTGTGTCATTTGATGTAAGGTGAGGAGTGACTTTTGGATAAAGCCTTGGCCACACTCTCTGCATGCACATGACTTCTCTTCTGAGTGTACGCGCTTATGTGTGATTAAAGCCGACTTATTGCTAAAGCCTAGGCCACACTGCCTGCACATGTAGGGCTTCTCCCTTGAGTGTTTCCTCTTGTGCCTGATGAGGCCTGCCTGGTGGCTGAAGCCTCGCCCACATTCCCGGCACACATACGGCTTCTCCCCTGAGTGTGTCCTCTGGTGTGCAATGAGGTTTGACTTCTGGCTGAAGCCTCGCCCGCACTCCTCACACACCATGGGCTTCTCCCCTGAGTGTGTCCTCTGGTGTCTGATGAGATTTGACTGCTGGCTGAAGCCTCGTCCACAGTCCTTGCACACAATGGGCTTCTCCCCTGAGTGTATGTTCTGGTGCCTGTTGAGGTGTGACTTCAGACTAAAGCCTCGCCCACACACCCCACACACATATGGCTTCTCCCCGGTGTGTGTCCGCCTGTGAGAGATGAGGGTAGAATTCTGGCTAAAGCTATGCCCACACACTCCGCACACATAAGGCTTCTCCTTTGAGTGTGTCCTCTGGTGGTTGACGAGGGTTGTTCTTTGCCTAAAGCATCGTCCACACTCCTTGCAGGCATAGGGCTTCTCCCCTGAATGTGTCCTCTGGTGGGAGATGAGATTTGATCTGTCACTGAAGCCCAGGCCACAATCACTGCACACGATGGTCTTCTCCTCTAAGTGTGTCCTCTGGTGTCTAACAACAGCTGACTTCTGACTAAAGCCTTTGCCACACTCCCGGCACACGTAAGGCTTCTCCCCTGAGTGTGTCCTCTGGTGTATGATGAGGTTTGACTTCTGACTGAAACCTCGCCCGCACTCACTGCACATATAAGGCTTCTCGCCGGAGTGTGTTCTCTCATGTATGATGAGTGTTGACTTCCGGTTAAAACCTCGTCCACACTCCCTGCACACAATAGGTTTCTCCCCTGAGTGTGCCTTCTGGTGTCTGGCGAGGCTTTTCTTTAGACTGAAGCCCTTCTCACACACCCCGCACACGTAAGGCTTCTCTCCTGAGTGTATCCTCTGGTGACTAAGCAGGTTTGTCATCTTGCTGAAGCTCAGTCCACACTCTCCACAGTTGACTGTTCCAAATCCTAAGACTTCTATCCTCTTCAACAATTTGTCTGTTTCCTCAGGGTTCCCCGTCTGGGCCGGTGTGGTCTCTATCTCCACTCCTCTGATGCCGTTCCGCGAGCTGACTGGCTGCTTTTGGGGTAGCCTGGAGAACACTCCCAGAGTCCTTTTCTTTGTCCTTCCAAACAAAGGCTTGGCACCTTGTCTCTCTTGACCTTGTGCTCTATCACTCCAGGAACTTCTATCGGAGGCTTGTTGCTGCTTCTCCTCGTCCCCGGGGTGTGGATCCCCTGGCTGGATGTGACTTTCTGTGCACAAGCATGTAAAGATCCAGGGGGGATGATTACACAGCACATGCTGCACGGGGAATTTCTGACTGGACAAATCCGGAGGGAAGAAAGGACCAAGGTGGAGTTCTGGCTTTGGTTCTGTAGAGAGAAAAGTCCGAGTCAAACTGAATCCTCAGTGAGGCAGCCTGAGCAATTCTTCCTAGTCTGATGGTGACACTTGATCCCGTTCTTTGAAATGCTTCCAAGCTAAGTGCTACCCAACCAAGACTTCCTTTACACAGCCTACTTTCCAGCCCATTACTACATCTTACATCTTCTATTACAATCCAAAAAAATCCACTCCTAAGACCTATTCTGTGTATTAGACTCTAAAAGCATCAGAGGCAGTTTGGGGTATGTAAATAGGGCCAATATGGAACAGTCTTCCCTACACTACAATTACCTTCCAACTCATAAACACCACACTGATAAAAAACCAGCCCACAAATATTTTTTTTCTTTGAGAGATATCTAACCATAGGACTCATGTGAAAATGTCCTTATATTTTCCCCTACTTCCCTACAAGGACAAAGGGATAGACTGAGAGAACAATCATTTGGAGTGGACAGAGAACCCCTGGTGCAGGAAGCAGCATAAGAGAGTGATTAAAGAGAAAGTTTGAAACACCTGCATAGGAGTCTGCCCACTCATTAACAAATATTTGTTAGAGGATTCCTTTGTACCAGAATTTCTACAAGGCTAGGCTTTCAGCAATGGACAACACACACATAATCTAGACCCCTACTGACTTAAAAGATGCTCCTTCCTGCTGTGCCTGACCTAAGCCCCTGTTCATTTCCATAATTAGCGTAAATAAAAATTTCCCCAGAAACCAATGTAAAAGAAAAATTTTCTACTTATAGTATCTCTTGTGTAGGAGATGTCAACATTGAATGTGTTGTTTCGTCACAACTGGTTCTAGTCAGCTGAAGGCAATCAATGACCAAGCAATCTGACAAACCAGATACAGATCTTATGAGATCTACCTGAACACACTTTTCTTGACCAATGAACAATCAGGCTTTTTAGATCTGTGTACATATCTACATTCCAGTATTATTCCATCCTATACAGAATGCTACTTTGCAATCCTAATTATGATTAGCATAACCACCCTTTCCTAACACTTAAAAATCCTGACCCTTTCCACTCAGCAAACGGCTAAGTGAATCCTTTCCCTTTTGTGTTTGACTGCCTGGCCAATAAATAAGCTCAGCTTCTTTCTTCAGTAGCTCTGGTGGCCTTTGATGACAGTAGCTACTTCAGGCTTTGATGACAGTCTGGGGAGCCACCTGATGCCCACCTCTCCCCAGCTCTAGTGCTCCTGCTGGGAAAGCATGCTTTCCTGAACCCTTCCTACTCAGGACCGGTTGACCAATGGTCCCCCTAGACTGTTCCACAGCAAGGAATGAACCCTGACTGCTTTCACTGAGCTCTCACTAAGTTTATTTTGTTTCATCTAGGTTGTTTGAGAGTCCACAACTTGTAACTGATTTTGTATTTCTATTTCTGGCCAGCAAGTTGCTTGAGATCATGGTAACTCTGGAGTTTGGTAGAGTTTTTAGATTTGATTTGTTGGCTATTTTTTACTCTTAAATATGATGGGAAAAGGGAAGCAATTGCTGATAACTCCTTGGTTTCCTTTCATACATATTAGGTCACTAGGTAAGTAGGTCTTTCAGCAGAAGGAACTCCTGTGTCTGTTCTCTTTTAAGCATGGTGACTATGATTTTGGCACACAGGTAATCCCCTCAACCCCCCATGGGAACCACAGCTTCTGATATGTCGACTTCTTGTATAGCCTTAACTTCTGTGCCTATAAAGTGGCAGGCTTTTGTTTATACTAAATATAATTCAGAATTATAGTGGCCACTTCAGAGAAATTTTAAATTTAATATAGTTTTAACACTGATATGGAATAACAGAAGAAAAACAAAATTTCAATTCTCCACTGGTCAATCTTTTCAGTTGGTCATAAAATCGGCCATTATGTGTATACTCTCAAAACATTTAGTCTGAGGAGAGATTTAATACAAAATATTACCAAATTAATGAATTAGTTTATAAAGTATTTTAAGTCTATAGTTGTTCCCATACTGATAGGTTTATAGAGACTAATGAGCACTGACACAAATTTAAAATTTAAAAACTCAAGAATATCCAAATTAAAATAAAAATTGAACTCCCAATTATTTTAATATGCTGGTTTCTGAAGGAAATCTTTCTTGCTATAGCTAGAGCTCTGGCTCTAAAGAAAAAACTTTAGCTGTTAGTTAAGTTAGGGGCTTTGGTTAGTAGGTTACACTGTAAGAAAGAAAGTGAGGCATTCAGGGCTTATAAACTACGTATGTAAAGAACTTCACTAGCTGGTATATAACTATAAGGGGGGAAATCAACATTTCTAAATATTATAAAGCCTGGAAATTAGACAGATGTAATGTATTCTCCTTTATTTTATCAGAGTGTAAATATAGCATTAGCATAATATTCTAGTGACAGAAAACTTGGTTCACTTTCTCAAAGAAACCTAAACCTCCAAGACTCATATACAGGTTGAGCATCCCTAGTCT